CATTCGTCCAAAAGATGCAAAGCTGTCTAAACTAACTCTGTAAGCCTTACACAAAGATCTGCATAAGCAGATAAAATATATTTTTCCTTTCAGGCTTTTAAGACTGTCTATTTGATTTGTGGCCTTCCTTACTCCTGGCCATGGACTTCCTTTTTTTCTTGATGCCTGCCTTTCTTACTGTGTTGTGGAAAGGCAGGCAGCCTTTTTTATTTTTGTATGAGGTGGGGTTTGGGCCCAGGACTGTTTTTTTTAAAGATAGTTCCCAGTTTGCATCCCTATCTGTGTTTGCTTTACGAGGCCAGTGAAGGCCTTATAATTAAAAAAACTATATATTAAAAAAAAATCTTTCTAAAATCTGTAAATATTCAAATAGTGTTTAAAATATTATAGAAAAAAGACACAACATTCACAGCCTACAGTCTATGACAGTTAATGTCATACTTCGAATTAATCTCTAATTTGTTTCCTAATCAACAAAAAATTATAGAAGGGCAGGTTGCCCATGTCCATAGAATATTTTTCTACAGCATTATCCCCCACCACACACCCACACCCCATTTTCCACTGTCTGCCCTTCCCCTGCACTTGCAATGTGATTTAATGTGCCATAAAGTTGACCAGCAGTGAACGCCAACCCTCCTCCTTCCCACAAGCACCATAGCACTCATCTTCCTTAACATTAACACCACAACTATCCCTCTCACTGCCAGCACCCCTAACCTTCCTCTTCCTATGGCAGGATTAGCAGAACAGGGGGGAAAGGAGCAAAAGGGTATATTAGCAGTCCTCCAAAAAATGGCTGCTATGTGCCCTTGAGGAGAGGAGGAGGAGGAGGAGGAGGGAAAGGGAATATTAGCAGCCCTTAAAAACTCTGCTATGCACCCAAGAGGAGGAGAAAATGGAGCATTATTAACACTTTAAATTTAAAAGAAATCGTCTGCTATGCACCCATGAGGCAGAGTGTAGGTCTTTTGCGGTTGACCTGTCTCATTGGGATTCTGCTCCCACTGTGCTCTGTGATGAACTTTCATGTGTTTCCTCATGTATGTGGTTCCCAAATGGCTGGTATGTTTTATCAAAGCTGATAGGCAGTACTTAGAGGCTGCAGATCAGAACAGTGTTGTTGGCAACAGTTTAGTTAAATGAATGTCCATATTGCAGAGCTCTTTTTACTTGCTGCCTTTTCAGGTGATTATTTGCAGTCCTGACATTAGCCAGATTCTACCAAACAAATACTTCAAGCCTGTAGTTTTAATATATTGGAAATAATTTCTGATTCAGAGATGGGAGGAAGTTGGGGGGAATGTGCCATTGTGGTCCTGAGTATTTTTGTGCACTTTGTTTTGACATTTTATTACACTTTTAAGACAACGTAGAGTGGTACTGTGATAAAAGAAGCTCCCAACTATACTATTAAAATTGGTGTACCACTGACCAATTTGTACAAAGTTGAGGGCTGTAGCTTTATTTTTAAGCATAAATTAGATCTATTGTTGCTCCTATTTCCACCATTCAATCCAGGCCTACTGCCACTGAATAAGAAAAACAGGTGTCACAAAAATCACCTAAAATATCCTTTTTTTTCTATGTTTCATGAATCAGACTAGTATGCTGCAGCTGTATTTAAACAAAGAAATGATGTAAGAGTTAAAAAAAATTACACATGCAAAATATGTGATACGATGTTTCTGACTCTCTTTGTGAGAATTGTACATTTCCATGACAACATATAAAGTGTAAAGCCATCTTCCAAGCATATAATTCTAAGGACTGGCATTTTCCCCATATTGCTCTCAAACTCACATTAAAGGAGGACCCTCTCCCCTCTATGGTATTTGTAATGTATTTTTTATGTTTCTTTCTTCATTGATACGCTTTCCCCCATGGCAGAGTTTAGGTCCTGATGTAATTTTTTTGGTAACCCTATGCCTATTAGCCTTTAAATGGCCAGAATTGATTAACTAAGTGTGTTCTGCTAATCTTGTTTCAAATCATTGTCTTGGTGCATGATAAAACTTGCATCAATTGCCAAGAATGGAATGATGTAGAATAGAATGTTAACCATTGTGTTTTAGTAATGATTTGGATCTGTGTAAATCCTTCCTAACCAGAACTAAAGCAGCACAATTGTATTCCAGTTATTTCACCATGCTTCATAGAAGACATCAAGTACTCTTCTAGCATCCTTTCCTTTGCTCAATGCTCCAAATATGTTTGCCTCTTTGATTCAAACATCTAAAAATTAGACTAATCTGTTCAAATACTCACCGTCATCCACTGTGTGCTGATTGTGGTCTTTTGTAGATTTTAACCTTTTTTATTTGGCAGTTTCAGATAAGGATTTATCTTTGCAACTCGCCTGCTTTCTAGGTCCAGCATTCCAGGGTTCTCTTTTTGCTGTTGCACAGGACACTGGTATTTGGTTTGTACTATTTCAGGAAGAAGCCATCCTTAGATTTTTCTGTGGAGTTACAGTGTTTGGACACCAGCACCCAATATTTTCACAACTGTGAAATGTTAGCACAAAACATACAATGTTTGGCCAGGGTCATTCCTATCCTCTGTAAATTTTTTCATGTTAGGTTATGGTGCTTTGTCCCTATTAGCATGTGAAACCTAATATTTGAAAAAGCTTTTTTTGCAGAGGTAAGAATTGTTCCATTTTAGGGGCTGGCCATTCATTTTTTGGTTTTGATTAATTAATGTGGCCTACAGTAACCTGATACCTTACGTGAAAATTGTTCAGTCTCACTTTACCTCCTGCATTTCTGGCTTACAAGCATTGAAATATTTGCAGATAACATTTTTGTCCCAGGAAGAATAAAGTCTCTTTTTGGGTTAAAAGCAAGAGCCTGTTAAATGAAATCAATACAAACAGAGAGTTCACATTTAAAGAGGTCCCAAAATGAACTACTGCGGCTCTAATGAATAAAAAAAATAAACTTTTATTAAATGGTATCAAAATTATAATAATCACTGAATACAAAATAGAAAAAATACCTTCTAACCAGTAAAAAACAAAATGACAATGTTGTCATGGTACAAACATAGCTCAAAGCTCACAGGCATACACACTACACATACCGACATGTTATCAGCAAAGCAATCTAAATAGCATTCAAGTAACAATAAAGATCTGCAACAGCATGAATGATAAAACTAGATGGAATCAATTATCAATATTGTTGAAAAAACTCCAGTTCCAAAGTAATGGAACAAAGGTAAGCAATGCAGGACAAGAGTTATTCATATGATGGCAATCCTGTGAAATGGATCTCTGGAAAACCCAGAGTAGATCGTGGCTCGGGTCGTAATGTGTATCAGCCGATTATGGAAGTCCATGGTTGATCAGACATGCTGCATCATCAAATATGTAATGGATCAACCACAGATGAACACCTAACCATAAATGGTATAATATCAGTCAACCAGATTGCAATGCGGCGCGGATGTCCATCAAAAGCAGAGTTGCAAATGAAGCCACATACAAGGAATTAGCTCAACTAATAGGCAGGGGAGGTGCTGTCAGTGCAAAGAGCGAGGGGCTGTAAAGACCACAGGTAGTCTGGTATACAGCAGGTAGGCTGAGCCACAGCATAAAGCTCCTCAGAGCCTTGGAACCTCTCCCGATATAGCCGGGCTCCAGCTTGAATAGACTGTTGCTCACTGCTCCAAGGTAGTCACAGTCCCAAATGTTACTCCCAGTAGGGCCAATGCCCAATGGTATATAGGACACAGCTCACCCTTCCAGACGTGACAGATCCAATTTGGTCCCTGTCATCCAACTTTCAAGGTATGCAATTCCATATGTGACGCTGTTATGTTGATCTATGGAGCTGTATCATGCTAACAGCTGGTGTGGAGAGGCATGGTGGAAAGCAGCATGGTGCAGCCTGTGGCGTGGGCGTAGTGACGTTGTGACGCCAACACGTTTTGCTCACTAGGTCATGTGAGCTTCTTCAGGACACTATGGCTGTTTTCTAAGGAACTTATATAGAGACTAGTGCATCACTTCTGGGGTTTCCCTTTACAAACCACAGCAATAATGTCAAATAAACATCATATATGATTGCTAAATATGCAATTTAACACTGATGAGCAACCTGAGCTAGAGAATGCAAAATCCAACAACATCGATAGATGCATCCATACCAATGTATATCCCTCACTCTAATGAACCAGCTTTGGGAAATAGTCAGAACTTGCTTGATGTACTATATAACACACAGTATAGCATGTTGGGAGAAGATTAGGATCAAGGAAAAAGTGGAGGATAAGTAGAAATAAATACTTCAGCCTATACCATAATGGGAAGGCTTGTAAGGAGAAAGTATAACATTCACCATAAATTCTTCAAAGCTCTCCTAGACTGCCCATTACATCCATAGATCAATAAAGCAGAAAAGGAAAAAAGTTGCCATCATGTCAATTAGAGATGAGCGAATTATTCAAAAATTTGATTCGGCTGATTTGCCGAATTCGCCGGAAAAAATTCGATTCGATCCGAATATATTCGCCGCGAATTTAACTTATAAAAAGGGTGTTTCTAGGCTTCAGAGAGCCTTTATATTAGTGCAGAACACTTTACCTTTAATTTAAATGCCCTTGGAGTCTGCTGGGGAAGAGAAATAATACTGTCAGTCAGTATGACATGCAGATGAGTGCCGTCGATCTTAGAATCACCGCACACTTCACTCATTTGGGCAGTCACGGGGCCAAAACCAGAGTGTGGAGCCACAGTGTGGCGGTGGAGGCAGCAGCAATGGGAAGCCATACAGCACCCTATGACAAAATGGAACCCACCAGCAGTGTGAGGAGACCTGAAAGTGGCACATGGCAGAGTGTGGCGATGGAGACAGCAGCAATGGGAGGCCGTACAGGGACCCATGACACACTCTGGACTGGCAGCAGCATGAGGAGGCGGTACAGGGGCCCATGACAGATTACGGGCCTGGCAGCAGCATGAGGAGTTGGTACGGGGGCCCATGGCAGATTACGGGCCTGGCAGCAGCATGAGGAGGCGGTACAGGGGCCCATGGCAGTCAGTGGCGGAGCGTAAGCAGCTAAAATTGAAGGCCATACAGAGACCTATGTTAAAAAGTCCCCCAGCAGCAGCGTGGGGAGACGACTATCAAGAGTCCAATGGCAGAGTGGCGGAGCAGAAGCAGCTTCAATTGAAGGCCATACACAGGCCTAGGTTAAAAAGCGGAAGCCGTCAGCAGCGTGAGCAGACGACAGAGACACATGGCGCAGGGTGGCGCTGGATGCAGCAGTATTCGAAGCCAAACACAGGCCTCGGTTTTTAAAAAGTGGAAGCCGTCAGCAGCGTGAGCAGACGACAGAGGCACATGGCGCAGGGTGGCGGTGGAGGGCAGCAGCAATGGAAGGCCATACAGCACCCTATCACAAAATGGAACCCACCAACAGTGTAAGGAGACCTGAAAGTGGCACATGGCAGAGTCTGGCGATGAAGTCAGCAGCAATGGGAGGCCGTACAGGGGACCCATGACACACTCTGGACCTGGCAGCAGCAAGAGGAGGTGGTACAGGGGCCCATGGCAGAGTGGCGAAGCGTAAGCAGCTTAAATTGAAGGCCATACAGAGGCCTATGTTAAAAATAATAACATGTTTGGGGCATGATTCATGGTTGGATTTAGTCAGTTGTGTCAGGAACTGGTGGTTTGAAATCCAGACTAATCCACGCCTGATTCATTTTCACAAACGTGAGTCTCTCCACACTTTGGGTGGGCAGTCGTGTCCTCCGCGGAGTTACAATACCTCCTGCCGCACTAAACACGCGCTCCGATGCCACGCTACTGGCCGGGCATGACAGCCTTTCAAGGGCAAATTCAGCTAGTTGGGGCCAAAGGTCAAGTTTCGTTGCCCAGTAGTCAAGGGGGTGATTGTCTACCTCAGTTGGCAGGGTGCTGTCCAAGTAGGTCCAAGCCTGTTGTTTGAGGTCCTGCTGCTCCAGGTCCACCTGATGCTGCTGCTGCTGCTGCGGCTGGTTATAGTAGTTTCCTCACTGCGCTGGTGAAGAAAGCTACTCATCATCGACTGCAGACTGAGGCAGCCGCTGCTGGTGGAGCTGCCACTGCTCCTACCACCCCACCCCTCCCCTGCTGCCATGGCAGCGGAACGCGACGCGCACAGGGCCCACAGTGTTCTGAGGATGGACGTTGGCGCACAAAGGCAGAGACCAACTGACTACATAGGTGGTTTTTATAGTACGTTACTTTTGGCCTCCCTCTCAGCAGGTGTGAAAAAAGGCCACCATTTTTGAACGGTAGCGAGGGTCCAACAAGGTGGAACACCCAGCCAAAAGTCATCCCTCTGTCTGATGGTTTATTATTCGGCTGTCGCTACGCAAGCAACCGAGCATGCTATGGGCCATTTGTGCCAAGGAATGCGAGGGACTCCCTGCCTCCATCTCCACAGCATACTGCCACGGTGCGTCTGGGTCCTCTGTCTCCTCCTCCTCCTCTACCAGATGCTCCTGCTCCTCCACTCCTGTCCGCTGAGTGGAAAAAACCTCCCCATTTCACTCAATAATTCCTGAGCACCAATGTCCTCCTCTACCTCCTCCTCTTCTTCCTGTCCTGCCCCCACAGGGGTCATGTGGCGTTGAGATTGTGCGCCACGTCTAACCGCACCCTGACCAGCCATTGTTCACAGCATTTGTTCCAGGACGTGCAACAGAGGAATGACGTCGTTCATCCCATAGTCCTGCCGACTCACGAATAGCGTGGCCTCCTCAAAGGGCCTGAGCAGGCGGCAGGTGTCCTACGCATGAGCTGCCAATGGCTGACATCTAAGTTACACGGGGAGTACCTTTATCCGCTTGTAACATCAGGAAATCGGTGATGGCCTTTCACTGTTCGTAAAGGCGGGTCTAACATGTAGGGTTGAATTCCACCTTGTTGCAACGTCGCAGATTCAGGCGATGCTGTGTGGAATTCCGTTCTGCCGCTGCAGCTCAAGGAGGGTGTGCTTTGCGGTGTAGGAATGGCTGAAATGCATGCAAAGTTTTACGTGACATTTTAAGGATGTCTTGCAGTGGGATGGTGGATTTTTAGGAACCCGCTTGACAACCAGATTGAACACGTGAGCCATGCATGGTGCATGGCACAACCTTCCTTGACGCAGAGCAGAGACACCATGTTCTTTCCATTGTCGGTCAAAACTTGGTTTTTTCCGATTCTTCCAGATTTGCGCAGGGTAGTTCAGCCATCTGTCGCCTATTACTTTCTGTTTCATTACATCCCTGAAGAGTTACTCACCCTGCTGTGACTGTACGTTCACCACTTAAGGATACCAGGTGCAGCACTCAGTGTGACGACCCGTTGTGCCCTGCTACATGTGATTATGTCACGGGTCGCCGGTTATGCGGTCTCTTGGCCCCATTGGCGGGTGGCGGGCTTTTTGCCCCGGCGGACTTTGTTTGGTCTCCCCTTTACATCTTTGTTGGTCAAGGTCGTGCATTTTTGGAGGCAAAACAGCGCAGTTTTTTTGATCCAAGTTTTTTGTGGCAGCTGTGCCGGCACACGTTCTCCCTGTGTGGCAGCAGTAAATTAAAGACATGTAGCTGTCGCTTTCTGACCGTTCAGGTATACAGCTCCTCACGTCCGGCGCTGCCGTGCAACTTTGCCACGAAGACCGAACATTTTTATAATTTTTTACCGAATCCGTGTTACTTTATATTAATGTTTCCATGGGCTAATTACTTTCCCTTTTTTATTTTTTTTTCCGGGCTCTCCCACTCTACCTGACGGAAGAAGGACATCGCCACACGCCATCATTGGTCTCGAAAAAGGTGCTGAGACACATCTTCCTCTTGCGTGGTTACCGTGGATGTGACTGCCGCACACAGCAACGTGGACAGGCAAAAGCGGACGTGAAGCTGGTCTGCACCGAGTTCGGGTGGTGTCGCAAGCTGTGTGTCTCTTGGTCACCTATCGGATTCCATAGAGTTGGGAGTCGTTTTTACGGGATTTTTTTGAAGATGAGACTAGAGTGACTGAGGGAGCTTTACTTGAAGAGCGGGAAGTTGCCAAGCTCCGAACAACGTCTAGCTCTGCCGAGTGCACATTTTTGGCTAGAGTGCTCTGGTTTCCGACCACTGATCTTGAATGCTGTATTCCACCATAGATCTCGGGTGACATAGTGAAGTATGCAGTGTGCGTTGGTGACTGTCCGGCGGGCTGTTGGCTGGCAGTAAATTCGACGGCTTGGCAACTCTTAATCCACCGGTCTAGTTTAGCTCAGGCGGATTTTTCGAATTGGGACGCTGCATTATGCTGACGCGAACGCTTGTTTTTCTTAACATATGGCACCATTGGCCTCATTTTCTTGGGACTTTACTGGCCACGATAGTAGACTACGGCTACGTCCACTACCTCTGGAAAGGGCTTTGTGAGAAAAAATGCGCACACCATGCAAACTTGAGTACAGGAGCGGACGTTGCCCTTCTGTAATCCGTCACTGTGCGTGCCTCGCTAAACTGTTGTCTCCGTGGCACACGGATTCCAAGAAAGATGCTGAACTGGAATCCGTGAAGTGAAGTAGGCAGGAGAAGGCGAGGCATCCGCTTAACTAGCGTTGGAAGATGCCAACGAGCGCACGACCTGCTAGCTGACACCTGCTTGCCTCCTGGAGCAACCCACTCGACTGTTTTGCTCGTGGCAAGCTGGTACCTCCTAGTCTCCTGATGGTGTGCTCTGACAGGCAATCAGCCCTGATGACAGTTGTGGTGCCAAGTGCCGATCAGCCTCATCATCATCAATTAGGGACTCCGCTTTTTCTCCTTCTTAATTTTGACCGCGCAGAAGTAACGGACCGCGTGGTGATCATGAGAAAGACACCTGTCTCTAGGGCAGGCTACAGTAGCGCACGTAGTACTCCGCGCACGGTTTTCTTCGCACTCGGTGCACGAATGGCGACAGTGCTATGGATGTTTCCCCCTGAGTTCCTGACTAACGCTCTGTTAGTCTTTTCCTCATGGACAGTGGGCTGAGCCCACTGGCCTGACGCGTTGAATCGCTTGGTGAGGGAACGAAAAAGGGACGGGGGGCATTTTGAGGACACGTGAATTTCATTTAGGCTTCCCCCGGGGGCCATGCCCAATTAACGGTTTTTTTTCTGACGTACCCAACCGACCGTTGGATTTTGGTGTCAGGGGGTGCCTGGGAAGAGGAAGGCCGCCCCAAATTTTAAACCAATCGGGTGGCAGGGTTGTGGGGGAGAAAAAACCGTGGATGAAAAGGGAGCACTGGCCTCTGGTTTGCAAATATTGCTCCCTGGACCCCTTCCTCTGCGGAAAAGTTTTATCGCTCCTGAAAAAATTGCCTCCTTTGCCACCCCTCTGGTTTTTGTCTGACTTTACTTTTAAATTCATAAGCCCCCCAAAATTTTTTAAAACCGGTTTTAACTCTTTAAACGTAAAAATAGGGTTGTGAAGCAGAAGTCAGTTTTTTTACCCAAAAATTTCGGCCCAATTCAGTTGCCTTTGGGCTTTTTAAAAACGGGGGTACGTTTATTTTTCCGGAATCCCACTATTAAAACCCAAAAAAATTATTACCGCCACCCGGGGGTGTTAGGGTTTTTAAACTTTTTTAAACCGTACAAAAAGTGGTTTTTTGGAATAAGCAAAAAGGGTAGTTTATTTAGCAAAAAAATGGTCAATTAAAAGCTTGCTTTGGCGGGAAAACTGTAGTTTAGGGTCTTTGGGAATGCACAAAATTCACCCAAAAAATTTCCCGCCACCCGGGTTGAAAATGGATCTAACTCTTTGAACGAAACAATATTGGTTGTAAAGCAGAAAGTCGGGTTTTTTGTACACAATGGGTTTCAATTGCAGCTTGCCTTTGGGCTGGAAAACTGTACTTTTTATGCCCACTGGAATGCCTTTCCCCCAAAAAATTTTTCCCGGGCCCCCCGGGGGCGTGTAAATGGATTTAACTCTTTGAACTTTAAAAATAGTGGTTGTGAAGCGGGAAAAGTCAGTTTATTGAAACACATGGTAAATTTTTCCCAGTTTTTCCCCTTTGGGGGGAAAAACTGTACGTTTATGTAAATTGGGAATGACACAAATTTACCCAAAAAATTTTACCGCCCCCGGGGGGGTTTTTATGGATTTAACTTTTTTGGGAATTTTACAATAGGGGTTTTGGAAGCAAAAAAGTCATTTTTATTGTACAAAAATGGGTTTAAATTTGGGCGCTTGCCGTTGGTTTGGAAAAATTTGTACGTTTAGGTCATGGAATGAATAATCCCCCAAAAAAAATATTTTCGCCCCAAAACCCCGGGGTTGTAAAAATGGATTTTAATTTTAAATTTCTAATTTGGGTTCCGTTACAAAATTTTGTTGTTTTTTGGGTTAAAAAAAAACCCCCCCAGGGGAAATCAAACTTTATTTTTTAACAAATCGGTTTTCAAATTTGCAGCTTCCCGTTGGCTGGAAACTGTACGTTTATGTCACGGGGAATGAACTAATCACCCAAAAAATTTTTACCCCACCCGGGCGTGTATAGGATTTTAACTCTTTGAAGTAAAATAGTGGTTGTGAAGCGGGAAAAAGTCGTTTATTTACAAAAATTTCGGTCAATTCAGCCTTCCCGTTGGCGGGAAAAATGTACGTTT